ATTAAGCAAGGATCACATAGATTGTTAAGTGAGGACCTCACATGACTGCGACTTCCAACTTCCTGCCAGCTTCCCCACTGACTTTGCTTGTGGGAAGCCAGCAGGGAATGTCATAAATCGTGATCACGTGACCATGGGGACACGACAATGGCTGGAACTCCGAGGACTGGTTGTAACTACTGCTCATTCAGCATCATCGTAAGTTTGAACAGTCGTTGAATGAGTGGTCATTAAACATGGACTTCCTGTATTATCCTCCTAAGAAGCCTGTAAGAGGAAGTTTCTCAAAACTATCTTTAAGAAGTTCTGTACTAAGGAAGGAAACTTATAGATGCAACATATAATGCTGCATTTAGAGAAATTTAAAGAAATTTAGCTCTTGAAGGGACCATCCTGGGTCCCTTGAAGGAACCCATCCTGGGTTCAGAGAGTCAACATTCTGCATATTTCAATGTTAAAGAGAAATTGAGCCATATATATAATAGAATATGATATCTGCAAAAGAGACAGCCGAAATACCTGAATTCCCATCTACCGGGGACAGCTTCTATCAGATGCTGCTGGCTAACAACTTTGGCCTCGAAAATTGAATGCTGCATCTGGAAGACTTAATGTTGATTAAGGAGGAAATTCATTTTGATTGAGTAGCATAAGCAAAGTTTGAGTGAAATATTAAAAGTGAAGCCAGTGCTGTGGAAAACATATTCAAGCTGGAATAACTTGAAAAGTTACGATGATGATGATTGCTTGGAAGAGTCCCCTTGAAATCTAGTACCTAATGTCTTGAGAGCATAGATGTAGAGTCCTAAGATGCAAATGAAAAAGCTCTGCTGTATTACAGGGTTTGTCGAAGAAGATGTTTTCTCCCTCCCCTTTGCTCCCATCTTTCCTTTGGCATCAGGGATTACTTTCTAGAAATGTCTTTCAGTATTCTTTAGTAGCAAGAATATTGTCGCTTGGGCCAGCAAGTTGTTGGGGCATTAACATTTATTCCAAGACTGAGCTAGCAAAATGCTGTGGACAGTTTTGCAGCTCTGCATTGTGGCATATCCTGAGGCCATGCTCTGATTCGTGGGCCTGCCTTTGCTTGTTAATGCCTGCCTGTCCTCCGTTGACTGATGGACTTGTTCTGTGTGGCGTGTTGGAATTATCTGAAGGATTTGCTGCCTCACTTGCTGCCTTCTGAGGTGTAAAACGTCTGTTGTTCCATTTATTTAATGAGGAACATTTTCCTTGCAAAAGCAAAGCGGAAAAAGATTTAGCTGGGAAATGTTATCTTGCCTGGATTTATGCAAGTCTCTGCATTCATATTTAAAAATCTTACCTTGGCATGAAGGGATTATTTCAAGTTATTTTGTATGCTTCTGACAGGAATGCCAGAAAACAAGAAATCATAAAGGCCTACAGGAAGCTGGCAATGCAGTGGCACCCAGATAATTTTCAGGATGAAGAAGAGAAGAAGAAAGCAGAGAAAAAGTTTATTGATATTGCAGCTGCTAAAGAAGTCCTCACGGATCCAGGTAGATGGATGTGTAGCTTGTCTGCTGTTTTTGCTCTCAGAGTAAGAGTTGGGCCAGCTGGATTGTTTTTCACTTCACCCTTCTGCAGACAAATCACCATTTATTTTCCTTTGGTGTACAGTGATGTGTTTATTAAGCTTATTTCACTTTTGAACGGACTCAGTTTAGCTGATGTATGGGCCAGACAACTTGATAAATGGCTTATATAATGAGGTAAAAAAAATGAGGCATTTTTGCTACTAGATGCACATCTAACCTTCTGTGCTTTAGAGCCACCCTTAGGATTTTTCAAAGCAGGCAGTAGATAAGTCTAAGAGTTTTTGCTTAAAACTCCCAGTGATTCTACCTCATTTCTTGTGGTTTGGTTTAAAACCATTAAATTTAAGTTTTAGGCCATGTTCGCACAATACACTTAACCTAGTGGCTGCATTGGCACAAGGACTAAAGCTTGGTGAGTGTTTTAACCTTGGTGAACCAGCCCATTCTGTTAGTTTATGATTCCATGTGTTGTGTAAATCCACCACAATAGTTCAGTAACAGAATAAGCACTCATTGAAAATCAGCCACAATGATTTGTGAGGAGGGAATTTGGGGGCTACATAGTGCCAGGATTACAGGTGTGCACCTCTGATTAAAGACTATCAAAGCCTTGGACATGCAGGGTTTCCTGCTTTTTTCCCCTCTTCCCTTTACTAAGATTTGGCCCCAGGTTTCAGCCAGTGGCCGGCCTTATCTAGATTTGGCAACTAAGCAGGATGAGGCCTACAGATAGTCCTCGCTTAGCAACCACAATCGGAACTGACAACTCCTTCGCCTAGTGTTGCAGTTGCTAAGTAGAAGATCACATGACCACGACAGGCTTACAGCCTCATTTTCCATTCAGTCGTTAAGTGAATCATC